ATAAGTGGTATATCGTACAAGGTTTGCGTGCTGAGGTAAGTCTGTATATATGATTGCAGATTCAAATTCGAAAATGATCGACAAGTGCAGTTTAATTGATCTCTCAATTTTTTCCAAGGAAAAGTAAGAGAAATGTATCTCAAATACGGTGTGTTGTTCAGTGTCCTCTGCACCTTGACTTTGGCTCTGGAGCCACTCGACGTCCAGTTTGAGTGGAATAACGGCATACATTATACCTGGCCCTCTTACGAACAATACGAACAAGCATTGAAGGATAGGTCTTATGCACAATTTTACAATAGATTAGCGGGAATCACGTTTTGGAAAGGCAACATGTATCTGTCCATTCCTCGAAACCATATTGGTGTACCGGTTACGCTAGCCACAATCCCAACTTTGAACCTCAACAGCACCAAGGCACCGTTGCTCAAGCCTTACCCTAACTGGGAGATGCAGAAGGAAGATGGTGACTGCTCGGGCTTACAGTACGTCAGGGGTATTGAGATCGACCCCATGGGTAGAATGTGGGTTCTCGACAGTGGCAATTTTTACAACTGCAATCCCCGTTTGGTGATCCTTGATCTCGAGGATGGTGGCAAAGTGCTCGTGAACTACATCTTCCCACCAGAAGTGACCAATCTCAGGTTACACCCCAAAACGCCATCCAGGGAAAAGAAGTATAGTCCAATATTAAGCGACATTATACTCGATCACGAAGATGGTGGATTTGCCTACATCAAAGTTCAGTATAGTTTGGACATAATTGTTTTTTCCCTGAAAAACCGAACCTCGTGGAAATTCAGTTATTTCAACAACTTGTTGCAACTAGCACTATCACCGGCAGATAGCGAAGGTAATCGAAAACTATACTGCATCGCAGGAACACACCCACCCAAAGTATTTGAGGTGTCCACTCGTGCACTCAAAGATAAAACCTTGCACTCGAATATTAATCAGGAGGTAAAGGAATTGGGTTTGGCACCATCTAAGGTAAACGGGATCACCGTATCCAACAAAGGCACTATGTTTCTCACTACGTATGAAATTATGTCGCTTTACAAGTGGGAATCAAAAAATCTGTCCTACGATTTCATGAAGCTAGAGATTAATGGGACGGATAGGGATTTTTCTTTGTACAAACCAACTTTTGACGGAAAAGGTAACCTATGGTTTAAATCTTCATGGGACAACACTCTATTATCCATAAACTTAAAAACTGAAAAGACATATAGCTATCAATATTATGGAAACGGTAGTATACCAAAGTTACCTGCCATCACTGAAGATGCGTTAAATAACCACTTGTAGTACTGTAAAAGCATCCACTTGTGCGTCAAATAAATAGTTAATCTTGGCTATGCTTTCATTACAATGATATACTAGCTTAGTAATTTACTGTTAATTAAATAAATGTTTGAAATAATAAATAGCTTACCAGAATAAATGTATGTAATTTATTTTATATTCTCTAACTGCATTAAATAGATACGATTGAGTTAACATCCCTTAATGATGTTACTGAAATATGCTCTAAAAAAAAGTTGTAATGTATCAAAGGAATCCAGAATAGTCTTATTTGAGCTGTAAGAGTCAGCCACTCGATCCGTTTTTGTAAATACGTGCGAAAGCTAAAAAAATATGTAAAACTGATATAATTGACCCATTGACTATACTAAAATTAGAATTGTCGTAATAACTGTGTTACCGTACTAACATTTGTTTATCTTCATTTTTTATTATTATTTATTTTAACGTTACACAAATTTAATGAATTCATCCTTGAAATGTGTGCATAATCTCATTTCCCAATAAAGATTGAAAAATGGTTCCGTGTGACGTAATTCAATGAAACAATGAAATTTTCGCGAAATGACCCGTGTACACGTACACGAGCGAGAGCCTGGCACGGCAGAACAGAACAGTGAATTCCAAGTTCCAATTCTCGCGCGATCGAGTCTTGGGCGTCTGGCAAGTCAGAGACAATCTACCGGCCAACTCCTGGGAGGGTCGTAACACTCTGGAAATCGAACTTGTAATAAGGTATACGTGTAGCGGCAAGCGCCGGCGGTACATGCGCGAGTAGCCGTATATATTGTGTGGCAGCAGCCGCACGAGCATTCATTGTTCCCCCGGTGAATATATATTGGATGTGGAACGGGCCGGCTCCTCTGCACGCCCGTGCTCGTGAATTCGAAAAATAAACCAGGAGAACACGAGCCGGAGTATTATGCCGCGATGCTCCGTACTTCCTTCCTCTTGCTCGTTTTTCCGGTTTCATGAATAAAATACGAGGAAAATTAAATACCCCCTCCCGAAGCAGAAGGACGACACGGACCAGAGTCAATCAAAGTTGCCGCATCCAATTTTTCAGATTCGATGTAAGCACAAGCTCGCGGATGTATACGTACATATTTTCATTCGTGCAGTGAGCAATTATGGGATACTCAGTACCACGAATAAATTAATTTCAAAGGGGTAATATTATATCCTGTGTACCTTGATGATGAGACATTGCGAGACTCGAAGCGTTAGTAACTCCTACGATGGCGTTTGGATAAGCTCGGATCAGACGAACGGAACATTCATGATTTGGGTAACTGCTGGCTTTAGCGGTAGGGATGTAGGGTTTGATGCGACATCGGGGAAGATGAAAGGCGACGAGGTCTGGAGATTACAAGTCTAGGAAATTCTTTCCCCCCTTTTTTTTCATGCTCCTGGAGGTTTCATTAGAGAGTGATTTACGCTGTGCTGCGGATAGCTGTTACATCACAAGGTAGGAGAGACGCTTGTTTGCTTTGGTTGAGGAATCAACTCCTGATTTTTCTTCCGTCCGTACGGCTCTTTGTCTTTGGTACCTTCGTTCAACTACTAATTTTTTCATCACGAGACACGAAATTATTATTGCAAGTAGAAATTAAAAAAAAAAACATAGACCAATGCTATTGAATATCACAAAGGTTTGCAGAGTAAGGACAATTGCTAAGAGTAAAATTTATGATTTTCAAGAGCAGTTTCCGTCCGAGTTATTATCGCTTCTTGAAAACGCCTCGAGCAGCGTTGATAGGTCTTTTATCCCTCTGCACTACTCACTTGCCAGGAGAACAGTTAACGATATGTAAACGGACCAGTACTCCTAAACTTTTAGCTTTAAAAACTGAAAACACTCCGAGAAATTCGTCTTTCGTGTACTTTTTCTACTTGTACCTCTGCACGAAAAAGTCAGAAAAAGTCAGCTTTTTGTTTCGTGTACCTTTTTAAAGTGTTGTAATCAGTACACTTTGTGATAATTGTAAACATTGCGGTTGGTATCAACTATTCAAATAAAAAACATCTTTTACTTTTCCATTCCTTATACTACATGACACTCGTGTGTGAGTAAAACAATCAAAATTTTACTTGTAGATTATTTTCTAATATGACAATTAAAAAAAAAAAAAAAATCTAACCAAATCCAAAATCCAAACATGTATCTGAGCGATGTATCTCACGGTCAGTGCATGGCAACAAACCAGTGTCGATCCTAAAGTCGACAGCTGGACAGTAGGCGCGCACACCCAAAAAGGCTACGGCAGTAATCCCCATCGATTCCACCGTTCCCTCGCAAATCCCCAAGTCTCTCTCACTCCTTCTCGGTCCCAACCCCGCAGCTTCAATTCTGATTCTCCCGCAACCCACTACAGTCCTCGGACTCTCCTCCGATGGAAGGAAAAAGTGCAGAGTGAAACTAGCTCCACGATGACTCGCGCGTAACTCTTCTAGTGACGCCAAAACGTGTACAGAGCTGAAACTCTCGGCTTCCTTTTCCCACCCATTTAGCGACAAATTTATATCCCCGTTGAGCAAGACTAGGGAACTCCCCTTTTTCTCTACTTACTTCCCACCCTCGTGGGTTCACCTTCGATTTGTACGGATACAGCCGCACTCCCTCCCCCCCCACTGTACTCCCTCTACCACTGGTGCGGCTCAACGTATGGAGGAATCGCGTGTAGATTTTACTTTCCAGTTATCTAACCCTATCTTTTTTTCCTTTTCTCTTCTATTCGGTGATGGAAGTTTGCTCTATCCGTCCATCCTTTTCTTTTCTGCCCGCATACGTATCTCCGACGAGTTGGAATAACAGGGGTTGAATTTTTCTTTATTCACAAAAAACAACAAGAAATCCTTCCTACATAGCGATTAAATAAACGCAATGACTGAGCGGTAGTTTCATTAAGAAAAAATGGTTAGGATTCAAGCCAAGATGTGCTCTTCACGTGTTCAAACAATCATTTTGATAATGTGTCACAAATTGAGCTCCATTGTGCGGATAGAGGTACAAGAGCTCGAGGGGGCGTTAATGCACGGGATTTATCAGGTGACGTTAACACGCTCTCCCGACATAATTACATCAGGGGGTGAAGGAGCGTGTGCTCGCTCGTGTCGTCCCCCTGGGGGTGCACGGGAACTTTTAATTTGTAAAATAAAGAAAACAGGAGCAAAGTGTACACAAAAGAGTGGAGGGAGCCCGATGAAGCGCCGATTCTGTTGTATCAACACCACGGAGGGTGCGAGCTTCGAGAGTCAATTTTTATGGCCTCGACAAGCGGAAGATACCTAAAATTAAAAGGCGAGCAGGGCTCAGAGATTGTACTATTACGCATTACTTCTCTTGGTCGTCTTTGAGACTCCCTCGGGCGTGCATGAGCAACATTTTTGGTCGTCTATAGAGAGCTTTTTAGTAGCCCTTGAAATTCAACTTTTGGCCGTATTCTAGTTTAAACTTTTTCGTAGAGAAGAGCTCTTAGAATTTATGAAACGACGTATATTGCGTTGGAAAAGGGAGAGTTGCTTATTTCCTTTAAAGTCAACCTGTTTGAATTTTCGTGTCACCTGGTGCTTACGACCTTTACGTTTTGAAAGCTGAGCTCTGTTGAGTATCTAAAAATAAAAGTTTCTTTTTGGCGGTTATTTTTTTGGAGATGGTACTAATGTACAATTTTTTTCTTTCTTTGCTGTTGCAGATTGAAGATGCCATGCTGATGTTCGACAAGCAGACCAATAGGCACAGAGGTGAGTTTTCAACACTTTTTTTACATCAGAAAACCATTTTAGTTATCTTACAAGTAGAATCGTACATTTTTAGTCAGACACACGTTTCATTAATAGGACGGGGATACAAATAAATATCATGCCATTAAAAATGTTTTTTAAAGCCTCGGAAAAAGCGATTTGTTGAATACCTATCCCACTAATTCTTAAATTTCGATCATGTCGATAATTTTTTCGTGATACAGTATACAGTGGTAATCAACCAGTTTGACCAATCAGACTCTTATGTACTAAAAAATGTTGTCCCCTCATTTGTGACGATGAGAGAGAAAAGCAGAGGATGACTGTTTGATCACTTGACGGTGAGTCCCCGCCATTCCAAACAGTCGGCAAGTCAAATTCAATAATCCACCGGGAGAAGCGAGAAAGGCGAGTCTCGACACTTGTCCGCCGCGCATGTGCATAATATGTACGCAAGGGAAGACGGGAAGAGATGAGAGGACTGGAGACAGAAAGGGAAGAAGAAGAGACGAGCGCCGCGCACAGCAGCGAGCACACGCTTGGCTGGTATCCCAGACGATTTCGAGTCTCGATGGGTCGCTATGATTTCCACGCGGATGAGCACGGGCTGCCATACTACCGCTGCAACTGCAGCACAACAGCGACAAGCAGCCAGCCCGGGATGAGGAGGAGGAGGAAACGTCTTCTTCCCTTTGCCGGGATATACGTATATAGAGAGAGAGAGAGAGAAAGAACAGGGAAGAAGAGCTCGTTCGCGCACGACGCGCGCGATTATGCAAGCTTCGCTGGCCAAAGGATTTTTCTTTCCATGCGAGGCTTCCTGCCCCCCCCCCTTTTGGCCTCGCTTTACTACTAGCTGTTCCACGCCATATCCACAGAGGAAGATTCTACGTCGTCTCGGTCCTCGCTCAGCTCCCTCTCCTCGAATACATTTAAGCGCATCGACTTGCTCGCAAAGTAAAGTCATGAGCTACGGACCAACAGTACTGGTGGATGACACCGTATATAACAGTATGACACCTCAATATGTAAGATAAGATCACCTCAATCAGTGGTAAAATCAAAGGTATACCCGGAATCATGCGATTATTTATATCGATTGCCGATTGTCCCGTGGTGCGTCTTTGGCTCGAGCATGCGACCACTCATCCGTGACCGGAGCAGTTTTGCGCTCGACCGCGCTGTACTGCAGCTGCCTCGCGTCTTTCCTTGTAGGTGTATATAATATTATGCGCTTTTATCTATAATTGCGTATTCAACTGGGGCAAAGAGGAGAGCAGAAGCCAACTGGAGTCGAGAATCGGGACTTTGGAGAGCTGGAGCTCCTCTGCAATTTGCGAGGTCTTTGTTGCATTACCTCGACGACTGCGAGCTGCGCAAGAAGCCGAGGAGAATCGGCGGGCTTGTCTTTCGAGTGCTCCTCTGTACTGCTACGGGGCTGGAACAATGTATTTCCCCCCCACCTTGATGCGAATGATTTCTCCCATCAGTACTAATTGAGTAGGATGCTATTATTACCTTTCACGCGTAAATGTTGATTTAGGGTTGTACTTTTATAGTATCGTTTCGGAGCTGTTGAGTGACTAGTCTCTTTGCGTCTCTCCACGTACATTTTCTCCATCATTTTTACAAGTGTAATAAAGGTACCATCGACAGATCTTTGGTACAGTATCTTTATGAGTTGCCCACACGACAACTTGCAAAGTGTCCTTACCAGCGTGTCCCTTAAAATCGTTGAGCCATCACTGTTGGCTCCTTGAAGCCTAATCTCATCGATAAAGTCTTGGTCCTCGAACGAGCTTCAAAAAAGCCAAGATCACGGCAAACAGCCCGACTAATTTCCAGCAGCCACCACGAAATATCAGTCACGCGATCCTCAAACGCGGGGGTGGTTAACGGAGGGACGTAGCGCGGTACCCTCGGGGGAAGGGGGGGGATCGAAACTCGAAAGTGCGAGCTTTGATCCTGGACGGAAGACAGAGGAAGAGAGAGGGTCTGGCGTGTGTGTGCGCGCGGTAAGTATATAGCCAGGCGTGGCAGGAAAGTTGGCCCCGCGGCTGGGAAGTTCGGAAGCGTCTTTGCGGATCGCTCGTGTGATTACCCGATACGTTGCTCCCGGGGCTACTGCTTCTACCTCCTTCCTTCCTTCCTCCCTTGTGCGCGCACGTGAATTTTCCACTCGACGCAATATCGTGAGCTCTTCGTGGTCCGATGCATCTTTGCCTCGTGCTTCCAAAATTCATACCTCCGTGCGTCCCTCTGCCACTTGCGTTCGGTCCATTGTAGGTCAAATACTTTCTACCGAGTAACTGGGTACCACTGGGGAGGGTGAAATAGTTTCGTCATTGTTTCCGCTGATGGGTGTTTTCGTTCCGTTTCGTTTGATAGTTGCTCCGTAAGGGTGGGGGAGGTTCAGAATGCCCGAGAGCAGAGATACAGCTTTGACTTAAAATGCAGTTCGGGTGGGAAGTAATAATACAGGGCCATTTAATTCTGTTGCTTTAAAGTTGATTCATTGCATGGTCAAGGGTCGCGCTTTAGTGAGACGTGAGACGCGTACTTTTTTGTCCTACCACTGAAAAAAAAAACGACTATTTGTCATCACTACCTTTAAGCTTCGTGAAAATAAGACCAAAAAGCACTAAGGAACGAAAAAAAAAAAAAAAAGAATAGTAACGAAATAGCAGCAGAAATGACGATGACGACTATCATCACTGCAACTACTGCGATGCTCGCACTACCACTGCACTTTGAGCTCAAGGCGTGCTTATAGCGTAATCCTTTCTAGGCAGCGTTGTACGGCGGAGGCAAATTCACGCTGCACCGGAAGACGTCCTTTCCATTCCATTATGGAAATCTTGGAGAGTGTATGGGGAAAGAGAGAGGAAACGACGGAGCGGAGCATTGACACCACCTTAATTGTCACCTGCATTACCGGAATTGTAGTAGTCGTGAATATAGCAGCTACAACCCACCGATGTTTGTGTACCCAGACAAACGAGTTGTAGCACAGCTTCCGTCTTTCCTTTCGAGTACAAGGTGTACAGGGTGGAAGATGAGGAAGGAAAACGGAGGAGACTCGAGGCGCCAGCGCTAGGTGTTGGGAATAATGTGCTCCCGGTGAGAGAGATTTTGAAATATTGAAATGTAACGTCAGCCGCCAGTCGCCATTTCTCTGCTCCCTGCCTCGTTTCCATCCGTGTATTTTCCTTCGATTTCCATCCTTCGATTCGCTCCTTCTTACTCTGCTTATTCAGCTGCCACCATCCCCCGTCTTTTCTTTATTTTCAGCTCAACCTACGTTTTTTTCCCCCGTCACGCCACTTTTTGTTCGACTTTTTTCTTTTGTTTGATTGTGTTTCTTGATTCCTTTCTTGGAGTTTTTCGAGACATTCGTTCCGTTTGACAATATTATTCTGACACATTGGTGCAAAATCAGAGTAGATATCTCGGTTTCGAGTTTCGAAAGGAATGCTTTTTTTTCCCTCAAGATATACAATTAAATATATGATTCCTATTTTTTTTATTTTTAGAGCTCAAACAACACCTTTTTCAACAAAATCGCGAGTTGAACGACTACATGCTCAAGTGTCATCATTCAAATGACAATGTTCCCCTGTGATGCCGATAAATAATGCTACAAGTAGAACAACCAGATTATAGTCAGACATGGTCATTCGTGACTGCAAAAACAATGAACGCCACTAGCACTCACCATGTTCAACCAAATTGAAGATAAAACGTATACTCATATATATGACCAACAATGCAATTTTCATGTTCAGTAAGCTAAACAACGGTGTATTGTGTTTGAAAACGTTTTGCTGGAACATTGATTATATACTCCAAGTAGTACAGCGAGACTATAGTCAGACACGATCATTCGTAGTGGGGGAAAAACAACCAGTACTGCTATAACAAATTAAAGATAAATGTGCATTTGAAAGGACCAAAATGACACTTTTACATCTGATAAACCAACATGGCATACTATGTTTTTCATCGGAGGGAGGGAGCAAACTCGCAAGGCACTTTTAGCCCACCAACTTCGATGGAAGAGGAGGGGTGACTTTGTCCTACACGAGATGCGTAGAGTGGCGTTCAATTCGCCAGGGAGAGGAGAGAAATCGCTCGGAGCACTTGTAGGAATTTATGACGACGCTGTTCGACACTGGGTGTACGCGAAGTGTCGATCCTCCGTGTGCTCTGCCACGCGCACGTGTATAAACACTAGATACATACACGGGTGTACGTCATGTACCCACGAAGGATGACTAGAACGGGCGTTCGAGGAATCGAGGCATTAGCTTGATGAAATTTATTGCACCTCCGATGTGCGTACCCTTGTTTCAGAGGGAATCGATTCAACGTGCGTGGAATTCATATCGAATAGTCGAATTGATTCAGTGGTACTGTAGTTATTATTATTATTATTATNATTTTTGTACAAAGTCCAAAATTAAATTTACGATGGATTAAACATTAAATGCAAAAAAAGGGGGGGCAAAAAAAAAAAAAAAAAAAAAAAGCTCGAAAATGAAATCGAAACATCCACGCGTATTGACTGTCAAACGTTGTGTGCGTCTTTTTTTTTGCAATAACGACCTGTTTTCCGCTGACGCATTCCGCGGTGACAGAGCAAGAGAGAGAGAGAGAAGGAGACAAGTTTATTGCCAGCAGATACCGCACGTAGGCAGAAAAATGTATAGGTCAACACGCTAGTTGGCCCATTATTTACGTTGTCGCGGCGAAGAGTCATATGCGCGTCGTACACGTGAACTGTTCCACCAGCTCGCATTGGAGAGAAAAAAGAAAAAAAAAAAAAAAAAAAAAAAAGAAGGGACGGGCACACGCGACTCCCAGCGCGGCAATAACTCGGAGATTAAAACAGAATTATAAGTGTACGGCTGAGTTGGCGGTTATAGGGGAGTACGTACACCGAGAGAATCTCGGCTGTTAAGCTTCGCCTCGATGAAGTCGCTACAACGGCAGCACACACA